CTAAACTTGTATTATTAATAAAGCGAACAAATTCCATTACTTTTTGGTGCATAGCAGATATTTGGCCAAAAGCGCTAGCATACTTGGCTTATTTTGGTTATGAAGAGTTTATTAAGAGCTAGTGAAGTAAATACAATCCTTTGAATATGTCCTTTCATTTCTTCAGATATTTGATACATATATAAGAATAATTAAAATTTGTTTGCACACATTTACATAAAATACCTGGTTCTCCGTAAAATTAATTAAGTTATATAAATTATTTTCATCTTCTTCCTGGGAGAGGGTAGTAGTTTGAAAATGTTTTGAAGAGGGTTGCCAACTGCTTGAAATGTCGAACTTTGTATATATATACGAAATATCAAAATATGGATGTTAAACGAAGGAGTGTTAAGAAATCTTTAGTTTGAACTCTAAGAATATTTTTGAGATGTTGAAAGAGGGTTGCGACCGGTGTAAAAAGTTAAATTCAAATTATGTGATATGTTAAATGAATTATTAAAATATGGGTATCAATCGAAAGGAGTTTGAAAAATTTGTATATCTGAATTGTACTTAGCGGGATTGCCACATGTTTGAAAAATAAAATTCTACTTAATTCATCAGTTAATTAAAATATGTATCGCAATGTTCGGAGAAGGAGAGTTATCAAGGATTAAGCTTGAAAATACTTTCGAATAGGGCTGCCACCTGTTTGATAGGTCTAACTCAATTCGCTAATACAAAAAGTTCATGAATTTTAAAAATACCTTAGTCAAACTAAAGAATGCTAAGAAATCTTTTTTTGGACATTTGGAAAGTTTGAAGAGGGTTGCCACGTATTTAAAAAGTTTCGTTCAAATAATTCAATAAGTTGGATATTATTAGAAGATGGGTATCAATCTAAATGGTTTTGAAAAGGCTTTATTCCTGACGTTTATTTAGGAGGGTTGCCATATGTTGACAAAGAGAATACCTTTTAATATGAATGTCAAAAATGAGAGGTCAAATTAAAGACCTTAGCCTGTAGATGTGTGATAAAGTTTTTTATTTTTTTTTAATGAAGAACTTTTTTCATCGGTATAGGATGAATTGAAACTGCTTTCGACTGGCACTCGGATATTTTATAACTCGGCAAACATTTGGAATATTATTTAAGTTTTTGAAATTCAATTTTGGGTATTTTTATGCCATGCGGGTTCACTAATTTGAGTGTTTTGCCTACGAAGTTAGGACGTATCGGTTTTAATTTGAAACTGCAATGTTGCACTTTCGTCTTCATCCAGATGTGTAGTAATTGCTCCTAAAGTATCAGACCAATGAAAAATTTTGAGCCATGACCCCACCGAGGCAATATACCCAAATTAACTAATTTGGATGTAATGAGTGTTAAAATCTAAAAACAAAAGCAAACCATTTATGAGGAGCGCCGCCTTGCTTGTGATCTTTCCTTGCCCTTTCCGGAATTTTGTTTGCTTGTAACCCCAGTTGATTAAATTTTGAAAGAAGATCTTGGAGTTTCATTATAACTTATACCTCTACCTTTTTCTTCTTCTGAAACATATTTTTGTTGCAGGGTGGTTAATTATTATCTGGGTTTATAAGATTTAGTTCACCTGTCACACCAATAAGCAAATGTCTGGTCACTATGTTCTGAAAAGTGAGCAAAAGCAAAGTATGGAGCACCAAAACGATATTAAAACCAAGGCATACGATGAGATTCTTTATTTTTCCACCTCTGCCAGCAATCTTCTTCTTACTTGATATGTGTAATAGCCCCTGTCTTCCCCAGTCTCAGACGCGAATATGTAGTAAAGAGCGGTCATCAAGCTTATTTATTCTTAAATTTCATAGATACTTCCAAGAGAGCTTTTATCGAGTTTAACGAGATATATACGCGTAAAAATAAAGCCACATATTGACATTTTGGGAAAATGAATGATGTGAACTTTATACAATTTTCAGAAGTTCCGTATGTA